GCCAGATATGGTCTCAGCTCTTTCAGGAGGAGACCCTGAGCTTTATAAATTGTGAGGCCAGGGAAGAAAAGGGAAACACTGCTTCCTGCTTTGCTCCAGGCCAGCCACCCCTGACCAGTGGGTGCTGTGTGGTGGTCATGGTGGAGGAGATGGTATTCAGAATTGCCAGAAGATGGTTTGTGTAAGTGAGAGAGGCGTATTCCAGAATTGTGCTATTTTAATTTTAGCCATAAAATTTTATTTATTTTGAAATCTCAAAAGGAAGGCAGGATATTTTTGTTAAAAAGGGACAGATTTTAAAAAGGTTAAGAAACCCTGCTCCATTCTCCATGGAGAGAGGGGGTTTTTTTATTTATTTATTTTGAGGTGAGTGTGGTGGTGTGGTGGTATGACGGTGGCTCTTCATTTTTCAAATGATGAAGAGCAATAGTAGTAGGTCCAAAATGAAGGTAGGAAGAGCTGGTTCTGGAAATGTTCACTAGCCTGTGATGTTTTGTTGACCAATGTTGCAGAATCAGTGCCATTTTGTAGTTTTCTTAACATTGAAGTTCAGATGTTAGGAGCTATGTCAAATCTTTTTTTTTAAAAATATGTATAAGGCCAAATACAGTAGCAAGGTTGAGGCTGGAAGGATAAGTAACAGGTGTCATAATAGAAACAGTGATTCCATTTTCAGAGTTGTTGTCTTCCACAGGCTGACATCTGGCCCTGTCTCTGCTGCTCACAAACCAGGCAAGCTCCTGAGTCTCACTGCAGAGCAGGGGTGAGGGGGTGCTTCTGGCCTCTTGGAGGGGTGGGGGGAAGGAGGATGGACTGAGGCTGTGGGCGCAGTGCCCGGGTGGACCGCACAGTACCTGTAAAAGGCTTCTGAAGTCCTTCCAGACGAGAGCTCCTATAAGACAGAAAGGCCTGCTGACATTTCTTTCCTTATAGTGTTTCTTCTTAAAGGTTTTTTATTCTAAAGATTCGCAAGAGCTGTCTTATTAATTAAGCAGATTATTTTGAAATAATCATTTGCCCATGTAAGTTTTAATAAATCCCTACTTCTGAGAATGAATTTTAAGAGTATTATCAAATTGAATATCTGTAATTTTGTGTCTCAGTGCTTTTCATTCATTTTTGTACAAAGAGCTTCCCAGTGTGTTCTGACTCCGAAATTCTCTGCAAAGCTCCCTGTAGCCACTTTGAACTGTCTTCACTGCCCGTGTACCTGCCCATGAAGAGAACTGAGTTCCAACCAGCCTGTCTTTCCGGGGACCTGTTTTTCAGACAGTGAGTTACCACCCTTTAGTGGGTTGTGAATTTAGTGAGACCGACATTGTTTTATAAAGGGGAAGTAGAAAATATCAACCTGAATTCTAAGGACTAAAAGTTAATCTTATTTTGGTGAAACTTTTCTTTTGGGTTTTTGCGTAGTTATGAATGTTTTGAGTGCATATGAAAACATAGTATTTTTCTCATGGTGGATCATGGTTAGAGTTTGAATCTTCTTTGGGCAGTTTGCTCCTTTACAAAACTTTGAGTTTGTTTTTTTTTTTCTTTTTAAGACTTTGTCCTTCTTAAAATAGTGGTCATACATTTTATTCAGCTATCATAGTCTCTGCCACGTAAGAGCTGCACAATATTTGATTAAGAGAAAAGGAGGAACAACTCAAAGAATGAGTGTTAGCCTAGGGAAGGTTTCCCACAAAAGCATGTACAGCATTGTGTCTTCTTCCATCCCTGGGAAGATGCACAGAATGGAGGAGCAAAAGCCAGAAACTCCATGTTCGATTTCTTCTTGAAATATTTTCATCATGCTTTGCCATGCAAAGTAACTGAAGGTGTGAAAGTACATATTATTCTCATAATATATGCCCAAAGCATTTAATTCTTAGTAACATATTTTCAAAGTCAGCAATAAATCTAAATATGTGAAATTTATTTGCCTTTTATAAGTTTGATCCATTAAATGTCTGTTTGCGTTTTTTATGACACTAGGCAAATTAGCAAGAGTTAACCCCTATGCCTAGTAAAAGTAGGGAGTAGGCTCTCTTTGCTCTGCTTAAACTGCTTTAGAGAGAGCGTGCAGGGCCTTGGGTTGGGCAGACTCGGGCTCGAATGCCAGTTCCTTTACTCTGACCCCCAGCTTTGGGCAGGCGTTCATATTCAGAGCTGCGGTTTCCTCAAGTGTCAAGTAGGGATGGTAATAACCACCTCAAAGAGCCATCAGGAGGATTAAGTATCAGGCTCTTACCACCGCACCTGGAAGACGTGAGCGCAGGAGCCACTGCTGCCCGGGCCCTCCAAACTCGCTGGGCGGCCGGGGGGGAATGTGAATTAACCGAGAGATGGCCACGCAGTGTCCTGCGGGGCGCCCAGCTCACCCTGCACCTGGCATGGTTTCTTTACCTCCTTCAAGGATGAATGTTTCTGTGGTTACATGTTGTTTACTTTATTAGGAGATTTTTCTTGTTTTCATCCGTAAGGAATTAACAAGAGCCTGAGCCTTATGAGAAAGCGCACCATCTGAGTAGCAGGTGCAGTAGTCGAGTCCGCGGTCCCACATTTCCAGAACCTGAAAGGCATTTCTGTTGCTTTTCTTGTGCCTTGTGTGTTCTCACGACACAAGTGCTTTCCCTCCACTCAGCTGCAGTGTCCCCAGACTGCGGCCCCTTGCTTTCCTTCCAGTTTTATGTGACAGTCTGTGACACGGGCCACTCCAGGCAGTTCCGCGGTCAGCATACCGTGTGAGATTATTGCTTGTCCACTTGGTCTGCCGGGCTGGTTTCAAATGTGACTTCTGTTACTGTTGTTCACCGTGAACGATGCAAATACAAATTCCTTGAAGCCAGAGAAAGGTAGCTGTACTGTTCTTTAAGAGGAGGTTTTAGTCTTCGTAATTTCTTTCCTCCTCTGTGCTCTTGCTCTGCTTCCTCCTCTGGAAACTTCTCCCCCTCCCTCCCCACACCCCCCTCTTCGGCCCAGTCTGCCCTCTTCGTGTGGCGGTAGCCCTCCTCTTCTCAGACGTCTTTAAGGGTCTCCTCGGGAGCTTTTCCTAGATCTCCCCAAGTTGGTTTGGCCATTCTCTCTCTAGGCCTCCCCTGTTCCTTGAAAACTTAGTTCTGTCGTAGTGGCAGTCTCTATGCTAAAATGTGAGTGAGCTTAAACCCCATCCTGGTGTCCTGCCTGGCTTTGTGCCTGCTGGGCCGAGCGTGTTACTTGGCCCATATTAGCAGCTTTGTAGATGTTGGATGAATGAGTAATGTGCTCATCCCCAGTGGAAGGTCAGGAGAAGGACAGCCACTTACTTTCCCTCCCGGTATGCGATCTCCTGTTGCATACACACCGAGATACCTTTTGGGATGTGCGGGCTTCTAGTAGTTTCTGCCTTTGGAGTGCAGCCAGCAGTCCACCAGGAAACAGGGAAAGGCTTCTTGGTGACGGGAGAGTAATAAATATGGGCCACCAGCTTTCCGTGGACCATGCTGTCTTCTACAACACTCTTTTGTATGTAGAACAAGGAAGCAGATGCAGGACCGTGGCTGTGCTGGCCACACACAGGATGCCTGACTGGCCAGCGGCCTTGGAGGGAAGACTGGAAGGTGGTTTGCAGCACATGACTTGGTCCTTTCATTGGTGTTCATAGTGAATCTCAGTTGTTAAAAAAAAAAAAAAAAAAAACTCTTAGGTTCTCTATATTCTGATTGAGAAATCTGGCCCATATATGTGCATATTCTTTTGAGACATTCTTGTAAAAAGTTACTAAAATGTGTCCTTTCTTTTAAAGGTTTGCTAGGGCTGTGTCACAAAGTACTGCAGACCAGGTGGCTTAAACCACAGAAGCTTATTTTCTCACAGTTCTGGAGGCTGGGAATCGAGATCAGGGTGTCGACAGGGTTGATTTCTTCTTAGGCCTCTCTCCTTGGCTTATAGATTGTGTCTTCTCCCTGTGTCTTTGTATCATCTTCCCTCTGTTCCTTGTCTGTGTCCAGATTTCCTCATCTAATAAGGACACCAGTCACATTTGATTAGGACTCACTCTAATGACTTTATTTTAACTTTACCTCTTTCAAGAACCTGTATCCAAACCTGTATCACATTCTGAGGTACTGGTGGTTAGGACTTCAACATACGAATTTTGGGCAGACACAGTTCTGCCCATTACTTTGTGGATTTTAACTACTTGATAAATTTACATAGGACAGTTCATTGCCTGAGGTTACATGGAGTGTTTGAGGGCATGTAGAGCGTACCATGTTTGCATATCAGACATACAGAAAGTCACTGCTACTCCAGTAGCTGAGTGTGGTAGCCTGGGTATGGCCACTTCCTCAAGCCATCAAAAGACTCCACCCTCCTGTGAAATACAGTCCTGCGTTTAATGGGACAAAGGTATAATGTTACAGAATAGTAGGAAGGATGGGGCAATGGCCTAAGAAAGGGGAAGAGGTACAAACGTTAGCAGCTACTCCTCTTGTTAAGAATAATGCCTTCTGAGTACAGCAAGTTTGAGTGCATGTGAAATTGTGTTAAAAGTAATAATCATTTTACACATTTATGGCATAAAGACAGTATTTTAACTCAATGTATGTCTCAGTCTTTCTTGTCCATGAAGCACTCTGATAAATAGGAGACAGCAAAATCATAAAGAGTCAAGTTAGAGTTAAAGGTTCTGTCGAAAGATTTTCTACAGTATCTTTAAAGTTTAAGGAAGTCCATATCAGGAGTTTCCAAGCTGTGGTCCCAGGCAGATTATCTCGAGTAATTGACTTTTCTAGGTGGTAAACCAAAGGCTCTGGGAGAAGAATACAAAGTTGCACTTTGAAGAGGATTTTTCATTAAATGTGACACATGTACCCAAGTCCAACTACTAACTTGTAATTCACGTAGCTGAGTTTCGAGAAACGAATCCCAACAGTGTTTAGAAATCCCTCTTTTGAAATTTTCATCTACAATTATTTAGAGAATATTTATTTTACGTTTTGTTTTTTGTTTTCTTCTCTCCTTTTAAAATCCAGCTCATGGTTTTTGGAATCTTTCTGTGCCTGGATGCATTTCTGTATGTGTTCACCCTGCTTCCTTTAAGAGTTTTCCTGGCACTATTCAGGCTCTTCACTCTGCCTTGCTATGGCTTAAGGTAAGTTTAAGATCGTGAGCTATTTCAAATGCTTAAATTATTTTTGCTACTTGTAAAAGTAGTTTTTACTACTTGTAGTTGTTAAAGTAAATAATCACTTGGATAGATATTGCAGAATAGGGATAATTTATACAGTTTCATTCATACTTTGGCCCTTAATGCATGAACTAATGCTGTTTATCTTTTTAATGACTATTATATAATGTGTTTATATAATATTTGTACTCTTTCCATGCACACTTTTTTCCCAAATGGTTTTGAACTAGAACTTTGCTTTGGCCGGGACAGTAATATTGATGGAGGTGGCCACGTAGAAGAGTGGGAAGGCATGGGGATGAGAGCCAAGGACCCGGTGGCCACTGTGCTGCTCGCCCAATACCTTTGTGTTCGTGAAGTCCCTTGACCTCCGAAGGCATCGTCTGTAGAATGAGAACTGGGTTCTGGGCTGGGAGTTACCAGAATCTCCTCAGGAGCTCTTCAGGGGCTCCTCTTCCTCTCATTTAAGAATCACTGTCTTAGTGGCCTGGGGAGCCTTAGTTACTGATTCCCGATGAGACTCCCTCTGATTGGTGAACGCGGAACACTCCTGAAGACCACTGTCCTAGTGGGAAGGCTCAGACAACCCAGCCCCACATTGCTTAGCTGGTGACGTGTGTGGGCAACTGCTTAACTTCTCTATTCTCTAAGCCTGTTTCCACATCACAGTAAAAAGGGGATGTTGTGAGCCCAGCATCTTCTAGCACAAAGATGGGAGGTGTAAAAAGAATACCCAGCATGGTGCCTGGTTCATAGTAGACCAGAACAAATATTAGTCTTCTTCCTTCCTTTTCTACCAAAACTCGGAACAGGAAGATGAAAATGTTGTAAGCTTACATGAATCTAAATGCTTTTTTGGTCTTGAGGTTAGAAGTTTGGGTTTTACAGTTTTCTTTTTTTGTACAGGCATGTCAGCATGTCTCCACTCTGTGGAGTCATTCTCTAGAATATTATCATACAGTTCTTACTTAGCATAGTTGCCCAAGTGACATTTCTTACATGGATCACTTCTCTAGACAGACTGATCACTTCTCTAGACAGATTTCATTCTGGAAAAGTTTTAAAATGCTGAAATGGACAATAATAAGAAACTTCGTTTAACTATAAAGTAGGTGACTATTCTATGGTATATAAAAATGTAATTAATGTAATTATCAATGACTTAACCATGGAAACTGAGGTACAAAATTAATGGTCAATATACAGAATTATGTTTTGAGTTTTTTTTAAATGACTAAAGTCTTAGAAAATTCTCTTTTAAAGTAGTAAATGGGCAAATACTAAGCACTGAATAACACATATGGTCCCTTTAGAAATAAACCATAACCAGTTTCAATAAGGAAGAAATCCTTCCAGTGCAAATTGGCAGAATTTATTGGTCATGATGATCATATTGTAAAAAGAGAAAAATTCTTTGCCAGATTACATGGAGTAAAACAATGATAAGAATTCAGATCACATCGCTGTTATTTGTGATACTTAACATGCTGTAGCCCTGCCTACCAGGATGAGAGAATTATGTTACATAGTTTATTAATTACATGTTAGTCAAGTGGAAGACTCTTTCTAGGAATATAATCATCAGCTTTAGGATAGTCAAGTACATTCTTTATACCTTTGGGAGAATTTTTAATGCTTTATTCTTAGTAGCAAACCTTTTAAAAAGACATTTGTAGCATGATACTTTAACATTAGCAAAGCCTAATCTTGTTTTTTTGTTTGTTTTTTTAAAGATTTTATTTA